CCACATCTAGGTAGTACTCGCTCCGCATCTTCTCATAACTTCCACTGAATCCCTCAGGCCAAACAATGATGGCTACTTTAGCCAAGTGCACCAGCATCCAGGAACCTTGTGCAGCATCCTATTGCCCGACAGGAACCCTGTCTGAGCGCCGATGCCACCCTGAGACCCCGTCTTACTGGAAGAGGACCCCCTCTCCCTATCTCCTTGGTTCGCGCCTGGGCACGCAGCGGTCGGGCAGGCGTGTGAAACTATGAATGAGCAGGCCAACTCTGCGGGCAAACAAGAGCACAAGAGCGGTCTCTTTAGTTGGGCTAACGCTAAGCGGCGGACAGCAGGTGGGTCACATGAATACCTCATTGAGAAAGAGTGAGAGAAAAGTTGGAAAGGGGGGGGGGTAGAGTCAGAGAGGAGCAGGCAGAGAGATGAGGGGAGGGGGGTGATGCAAAGGAGAAACAGCAAGATGGAGAGTGACAGGGAGAGAGTTAGAAGGGGAAAAATTGAAATAATGAAAAGTAAAGTAAGAGCATCTAGAAGGAGAAGGGGGTGTGAGGGGGTGGTTGGCATGGAAATAGATGGAGGTTGAGCTCCCTCCTCTTTAATCTGTGTTGAATCAATACCCCTACTGTAATAGCACTCCCAATCCTAGTCACTTGCTTTGCTGCCACCCTGCATGCTGTGCCACAAAGGGCCAAGTCACGTCCATGTGATGCCTCTTTCACACAAGGCTCAGGGACTGGAAAGGAGATCATATTCACAGAGCGGAGGGGCGGGGGGCTGAGAGGGGTGGGGGTAGGGGTAGGGGGGCATGCAGGCTAAAGGTGAATGTACCAGTGAGATCAGTGGGAATTAAGCAGCTGAATGTAGTTATTCTGCTTATTTTGCAGTTGGTCTGTCTTAAATAAATTTAGTGTCATACTGAAAGGGCATGATTTGGTGAATAGAAGAGCTGCTGTCCTGTTGGTGGTTGTTAAGTAGGGAGAGCATTCACAAATTGTCCTCTTGCATGTTTGTTTGTATTAGATTAATAGCTACAGACAGTTTGAGCTGTGGTGTCTGGTGTCCGTGAACATGAATTGACCCCAGCTCTGCTCCTCGATGACCAACCAGGGCCAGCACAATTTTCAAATATACATTATCATAAAGAGTCTTTAAAAAGCGTTAAAAATATATAGATAAAATACTTATGAGCAGCTCTTTGGCTTGACTTACAACACTGTAATGTTCTTCCTTCTTACATTAAGAAAAGTACAATGTTTCAACTGGCCTCTTGTCAGATACAACATATAAAAAAGAAGAAATGGCTGCACTTTGAATGTTGCTACAGATGTATAGCAACATATGGTGAAGTCATCTGGTTAAAGAGGGGAAGCAAAAAGCCTCTACAGACCCTCATTTATTGTCCTGTTTTCCTGTAGATGCACAAATGTGAGGGGCTCGGTATTCTCATATATCTGCTGGGCCTCAAAAAGGGATGCAAATGCAAATGCATCTGGTTTAACTGTAACCTCTCACATTTACCCGCAATAAGTCTCTTAACCCTTTTCTGCTGTGTAACTATGCAGCAGATACAAATAAAGCATGTTGCTATGAGCTATAAGCTTCAACTGTTGGCAAAAACAGCTGACTGATGGGGAAGTGCATGTTTTGACGCATCTTAAACGCTGCACTTTTGTTGACGTGCTGACAACCTGCAACAGAGAGCTGAAGACGAATCGAGCTGCAGATGAGGTGAAACATTTTACAACGATGTTTGTCTCTCACGCTGCTTCACACTTCAGTCGGTTACTTCATCTGACCTATAATAACCCCTGCCCTCCCTCTCACTCGCTACTGGTTGTGTCACATTCATTCTCCTTTCTCGCTTCCATCTATCTCATTTTGCCATTTCGCTCCTTCCTCATCCTTTTTCTCACATCTCCCTTGATCGTTTTTCATCCTGCTCTCTTTCCTTTCCTTTTTCTTGCCATATCTTTTATCTGTCCTTCTCTTCAGCTTTACCCCTTACTTCTCTCTTGTTCCTTTTCTCTCCATGTTTTCCAACATCAGATCATACTCTCTGCTCTACTCTCTCAAACCCTTGTCCTTCTTTGTCAATCCAGATTTCAATCTGCACCGCTCTTTTGTTTCACCTCTGTTTGCTTATCTGTCCTTCTCTCCATCTGTCCTTCTTATCCCTCCGATATCTGCAGCCTGTGTCCTCCACCACGTCTTCACCTTCTCCTGCTACCACGCTCTTTCATTTCATTCACCCTTTAATCTTTTTGAATTTCCCTCCATCACCATGATTTCCTCCGTTGTCTTTTTGATATATGAACAAATTTCTCACTCTGGAATTTTCATACTTGTGTTTCTGATGTACCCTCTACACCTTATAACTAGCAGTATGTTTTTTTTATTTTTTCCTTTTTTAATCTATTCTACGTGTTCATGATCTCTCTTTTCCTGTTATCCATCTTCCGGTCTGTCCCTTCTCTGGCGATCCATCACCCCTCACCATCTGGACCCCCAATTCTTCTCTCTTCCTCTCTCTTTGTCTACCTGCTGATTCCAGTCTCAGCGAGTCGAGGCCAATCTGAGGACGTCTGCACTCGGCAGAAAAAGATGATGTCATCTCTTTCAGCGCCGGCGGGCAGGACCAGCGCTATCACACGACAGAGATACTGTGGTTTACACGATGCCGCCTCTTTTCAACACAGCCTCAGTTACACAGAGCTGCCGACGCAGTGTGTGCCACCTCAGCTGCTTACATTGGAGTTTGACTTTAATCCACAGCAACTTACAATGAGCCAAAACAGTTTTAAACAGGAATGTAAGCGTTAGAACTCTGTAGTGTGCTGACAATGTTTCTGTAATGTGAAAGAACAGATGGATGATAGGAAAAGCAAGAGCTGGGGAGAGGGAAGAATTTTCTTTTCCTTTTCAAGTAGAGGACAGCAGAATACACTTATCTGTCTTTTTCTACATCAGAAAACTTTAAGTTACTTGTCCTGTAACTGCTGCTCTCTGTGAGTGACGTGTCTCACCATAATAACCTCCTTGTGTAAAGCAAGGAAGAGGCAGGTTTATTTTCACCATACACTGTTAGCGTGGGAACAAAATCTTTCTTGTCTCCCCACTTAGCATCATGTCTTATCTCTCTTATTAAAGAAGCTTTGAGTAGCTTGAGAGGACGAAAGTCTGAGAGGAAAGTCTGGTACATCTTTACTGGGGTCAGGGCAGCTATGGTACATCAACACAGCTAGTAGCTAGCTTGTGCTACCTAGGTTAGTGGCAAGGTAGCACATTTCTAATAATCATGGGATAATATGTCAAAATAATGAGGAAAATCATTAATATGAGCTAGAACCTTTATGATAATATTACTCAATTATGAGTTACATTAAAATTAATTACAGTTTTGTTGACTTACTTGATACTTTTATATTTTCAGGCCAAAATCATACATGTTAAACAATAAAGATAATCAATCATTGTGAGGCAGATACACAACCAGTGATAAAGGGTCACAAGTCGACATTGCTTCATTTTAAAGGTTCACTAGCCAAAAAGGTTGGGAACCAATGATGTAGAGGCTTCTGAAGATAATGCTGAGTGTTTCCCCCCAGTGACGTGAATGTGTGATAGAGAACTGACATTATGTTAGGTCTTTTTTTGACTACAAGGAGGAAAAGCACAACATTAGTCAAGAAATGAAAGGTGCATGTTGATATTTCAGAGTGGATTCTTTTTATTTGTTGCCTCATTCTGGAATTTGAGAAATTCAGTTTTTGACACGTTTCTGTTTTCAGCCCAAAAAACTTTGATGGTGTAGACTGGAAATGCAGTACTTCCACATGGACTCATACAGATCCTATCAATGTCTATAGCACTGCGAGTCATAAGAAATTCATACTGCAAGATTGACAAAAAAAACACAAGGAGTCTCTAGTGGTGTGTGAATACGGATGAAAGACACGGCTGGTCAACAGAATAACACACACAGCCATGATCTATCAATGGTTCATGTACTGTTCAAGGACAGCAAGGACACACACACACACAACCGGAGACACACACGTCTTCCTTATTCATGTCCTCTAATGTCTGGTTTAAGACCTGACAGCAGAAGGGGCTCACAATTAAAACCACTGGGTCATGGATCGGTAAACACACACACACACACACACACACACACACACACACACACGCTCGCACACAACACCACAACTACTTACTAGTTACTAGAGCCGGTTTCCATGACAACAGACAGGGAGGGAGAGAGAGATAGAGAGACAGAGAAAGAAAGAGAGAGAGAGAAAATTCCACCCCCTTCAACTCAGAATATTGAGTCAGATCTGAGAATGATGTATTATCAAGTGCAGGAGAGGGAGAAATAAAAGGAGAGGGCGGACGGAGGGGAGTGGTAATGCAAAGCGTAGTGCAAGAGGGGAAAACAAAAGGAGTGAGATGAATGAAAGGAATGACAGTGGAGAAATGGAGATCGGTGGCAGAGAATGGGACAAAACTGGAGAGTCAAAACAAAGAGATAGAGAGAGGTGAAGATGGATACAAATGAAAATAACGAGAGGAAGTAAAGACATTTCAGTAAAGAAAGAATAAATAGCAAACAAATAGAGAAAGAGATTGGAGTAAAGAAGCAAAGCCAGAGGAGAATCATGCTCGTGCACCTAACATGAACCCACACCACATTTTTTCAGCAGAGAGACATTACATCACACTCAATGTCCTTCACAATGATTGACAGGTTTTAACACAGAGAAACCAAAAAATGCCTCTTCTGTGCCCTCACATGCTGCAGCAGTGTAAACGTAACACTTGGAATCAGATTTTGGCTTCTACAAGAAGTAGTTTTTTTCCTGTTTTTGGCTTTCAAAACAACACATTTTTTTCTCCACAAGCAAGCTCCACAAATTAATGATCCTGAAGAGGGGTGATCCTATTTAAGGCTCTATACAAGAAAAAAAACAATAGAAAAGATGGAAGAGTTTTGTTGTACTTACCAGAGAGGCTGACTTTATGGTGGCAAAGCGGCCCTGGTTCTTGTAATTTTGGGCCTGACTGCTCTTGTCAGAGGAGGCCGGCCTCAGCTCTGGCCGGTGGTCCCTGTGGATCCCATCGTCCCAGTTGTACTGATGGTCCTGTGTGTAACACAAAAGGGAGAAAAGGTAAATAGGTTAAAGTCAGTCATTAAGTCACAGAATTATCTTCATCTAAAATAATACCAGAACAAATGGCACTGAAGTGAGTAAGGCATAAAAACGAAGGTGAAAAATGTGGATTTTAACTCACTCAAAGGTGCGACAGTATTAAAACTCTTTAAATAACAAAATCCCCCACTGATTTTATTCACACAACATCCAAAAATCAAAAGGAATTTTCAGCATTTGCTAAATCTGTGTCAACTGTAACCTTGCAAAACATGAGGAAATGTCAACACTCAACCCCCCTTCAATTAAAAAGTGAGTGAACACTTTCAGGAGCCCTGGGACCAAAGACTTGATTTATGTGAGGAGGGATCTTCATCAGCATCTGAAAACAATATGTGTCACTTTCATTTGTTCTCAGTTCAGCCCCTGAACTTGAAACAACACACTGGCTGTCTGTTCATGCAGTGACGTCCTTATTCATACACTGTCAAAATACAAAGAGCAGATGAAGAAAGAGAATGACAGAGCAGTGACAGCCCTCTCTTCACAGAGTTTTAAGTCATATGAGATTTTGTGTTGGCATTGTGTTGACCTGTGTGTGCTGAATGTGGGAGTGTAAGCGTGCAGGATGACAGAGTTGTAAGAGGGGAATTTGTGTGGAGTGTGTGTGTCGACATGTGTACACAGCCTTTGTTCTTGAAGTGTGAACAGTGTCGGTGATGAACTTAAAGCAATCTGCCAAACAGCGAACACTGTGTCGATGGTTTCCATGGTTTCAGGGGGGAGGGGATTAAGAATACTCTTGAAAACAGTGAGAGAAACCCAGAGGATGTTTGCATGGAGCCATGTGCCCTTTTCATTTCTGGAGCACAGTTATTACCTCAGAAAGGAAGTGACTGTACTAGTAATATGGCATTTGTTGATAATGCATGCTGTCTTTTATGTACTGTCTGAGGAAGTCAATTCTTAGAAACCTAGGTGCATGGCATTTTGGGAAAAGTGTTCACTTCTGCAAGAGTACTACCTCAGCATATCAAATAAGAAGACAATTATTGGGAAAAAGTAAAAAGTTGTCAGGGCGTGTTCATTTATTTGTCTCTATATCAGATGAGGCCCTGGTTGATTGAACCACTGAGTGACTGTGAAGGCCATAGCGTATGATTCACACCATTTTCATACTCCGAGGAGGTCATACCATTCAGTGACCCCCTCGTGACCTATGGATGGGGGCACTGTCATCCTGAGTCTCCACTCATTTTCAGGTTTTTCCTTTAATTTGTCACTGGTTGGTCATATATATTGTAAATATATAGTGGTTTAGTGCTAGTGATATAAAAGTGCATCATGGAGCATCACCATATAATTTTAATTGTTAGAGCACTATTTGGCTCTAACAAAGTGTAACTATCAAACTAAGGCCATTGTAACCAGTATAACACCTGTCCATTTACAGGTGGACGTTATAAAAAGTAGATACATTTTTATCACAAAGCTGAGTTGCCCAGGGCACCAAAACTGAGCACCCCTTCTTCTGCAGGTGGCTGTGGGAGACGATATTTATATTGTTTGGTCCCTGTCATCCAAAAACACAGCAGTGCAGAACAGTGCAAGCTTTTCAAAGTGTCCTATTGTGTTTTGCCTGTGCTGATCTGTTGTGACAGGGCATTTTTTTTCCAATAGCAGCACCCTAAAGGTATGACATCATCATGTCTTTATTTTGATATCTAACCCATGTCTTAACTCTGCCATTTTCATAGGTTATTTACTTTATTTAGGTTATTGTCTTTTTGTTTGACTGACATTAAGGTATGGCGCAGTGAAGATGTGATTTATTTATTCATACCACACTGTGGAACATGCCTCTCACTCTCACCACCCTAATGTTGCATGCTGCAATTTAGGAGTTTATGAAAACTATGATACAATCATGCAGAGAGGCAGAAATATATCTTCTTAGAAAAGAAGTGTGAAAATGTATGAAAAAATAAATTGTAAAAATATCCAGTTTTTTCCATTATCAATACTGTTAAAATACGTCCAGTTTAAAATACACTCAGATGAACATATTTGGAACATGACAGGTGGTGTCAGTGAAGTGGCACTTGAGCTCATCTCATCAGACAAAAGATTTTGGGAGCCACTGAGAGCTGCTCACACTGCTTTCCAGTTTCCAGCTCAAGTTTTGGATAATGTGACTTTTACTCCGTCATCCAGCTCCTTATACTCACCACCCACCTCCCACCACCCCACCTTCACCCCTGACCTTTACCTTCTTGGTGTGCGGGGAGGAGTCCAGGGTGCTGCTGTAGTCCTGGGGGTGCATCATGGTCATGTCTGAGCAGCTGTCGTCCAGCACCTCTTGCATGCTGTTCACGCTGCTGCTCTGGCTGCCCGTGCTGACCGAGGTGCTGGGGATGGAGTGGTTGCTGCCCAGGCTGTTCATCTTGCAGCTGGCTGCCTCGCTGTCCTGCAAGTGAACATCCACACATATTCATTAAGACACGCTTCCACAAATGAGCTCTCAAGAGTCCTGCAATTGTGCAGAGATGAGACTCATATGTCCATCACTCTAATATACACAGGGCTCTCCAACTTGTATCATTAAACAGTCACCCTAACACAGGGAAATAACTAATGACCTCTGGATTGCATTAGAGTCAAAGTCATTCTAAATTGCCTATTAACCTCTAATTGTTTAGATGTGTACGTGTCTGTATCATTCACCTGTGTCAATGCTTATGTTAACGCACATCGGTCTGACTGAGATGTCTTCAGATTCGAAGTCCACTTGAGTGTGTGTACATGACAGATAAAGGGAATCAAACAACAGACAATTCAGTCAAGTCTCCAATAACAGACTTGTCAGCATCAGGATGCTATAATCACATGCACTGCATCTTCCCCTGAAACCAGAAAGCAAGGTTTGGGACTGCAGGTCTTCAGCGGTGTCTTGTTGCAGTGATGTCTGGTGGCTGCTCTGAATTGCGTCACGTGGTGTAGGATGACACTACTGTGGCTGCTGGCTGTCCATGCCTGTTCATGCTGCCTCAGGCCAGGTCAGCTATGGGGCATTTCATCTCAATGTCAGGCTATGGCGGCTGCAGAAGACTTCTATAACATCACTTCAGACTATGAAGCCTGTCCTCTCCCTTTGTACTGTGAATCTGAGATCCTCTGTTAGTTGACTCAAATTAAGGGAAAACCTCCCTCACTGCAATGCAATACAAATGTCCAGCTTCTCAAATGTAAAGATTTCCTGATACCCTCTGTTTAATATCCTTATAAACTGAACACCTTATGGGTTTGGACTGTTGGGTCAACAAAGAAATTTGAAGAAACAGCCTTTGCTCATTACAAGAGGAGCTTGTGATGGACATTTTTCAATATTTTCAGATATTTTAGAGACCAAACAATTAATCTTTTAAATCTTAAAAAATATTATGGATGTGGATTGTGGAATTATTGTGTATTATGGATGGACTGAAAATTGATGACAGACTTCTCTCTGAGGTGAAAGTTAGAGGATTCTGATCAGAATTTAAATGGAGCCCAACTGGTTTCATGTTTTTAACCCTTTGTTCTCTACTTGCCTACTTCAAGTGTTACTCCAGACAAACTCTATAATTCTCATCTCTGTATTATCTCTTTTCCACTGAGACTCCCCCTTATCCTCTTCCCTCTCCGACTTCCTCCCACCTCTTCCTCCTCCTGGCTCTCCCCCATGGGCCCGTTGTGTTTCTCCTGGTAGAGGATCTTCTTCATCTTGCGGTACTGCAGATTGTCCAGCTCACGCACCGCATCCTTGGTCCTCTGGATGAGGTCAATGAGAATGCGCGGCGATCGTTCCCGACGCACAAAATCATGCTGGTGAGAGAACAAGAGGGAGAAAGTGAGTTAGTCAGTTGGATCAGAAATTATTTAAAGATGGACAGAGGGTGGGAACAATTAGATTACAGTAATCTGATTTGAAGAATTACATTTAGTCTATATACCATAATTTATGGATGATAAATGATTGATTTCAGTTAATGCTAATGACTTATTTTCTAAAATAGCTTAGTAGCAATTTTGAAAAGTGTGTATGTTCAAAAACAATTGTATTTCTATTTTTTCACAAAAACATTATTATGTAAACGTTATAGACTACAAATGACAATTTAAACCAGTTTAAACTAATAATTTAAATATATTAACAGCAAACAATAAACATTTATATGAGAAGTAAAGTCAAACAAAAAGGTGGTCTTTTCTGGAAAGATGGAGGAAATTTAAATTTTAGTTACTTCTCAGTAAATATGAAAACTATGATATGACTTTAGGACCTTAAAGCTTTCACATGGTACGCTGATGTTCTTAAAGAACTTATAAATTGTTTTTTTTAAAGGAAATTTAATTTCTTTCACCCAGTGTATTATTTCAATAAGCACCACGACTGGGACTATCACTAGAGGGCGCCTGTAGGTTGGGTCCTGGGAGTCCCAGTTACATCCTCCAGTGCACTGAACACATGGGATCTGTGTAAGATTGTCCATAAAAATCGATTTTCACAAATACTCTTAATCCTCTTCTTTCCAAAAAATAATGTCTTAACTGTATTTGCCTTGGCACCAAGTTAATGACAGCTTCAATTCAATCATAGCAAGAAACAGAAACAACCGATGAGTAATACGCTGGTAATTAATTGAGAGGTTTCAGTCTTTTAATCTGGATTTTCTCTGTTTTTTTTGGAGGGCCTACAAACATTAACCTGTCTGTAAAGAAAAATTAATTCAATCATCATTTCATAACCATATCTGGAGCCACATGTATACACACTACTGTATATTAGCCACCTGACATTTCTTAACAAACGTAGCCAAATTCCTACAACAAGAAAGTTAAAGACCAATAGCAACAGGATTATCTTTATGAAAACACGACTTTTTGATGATATTTCCTCACACAGTCTTACACTAAACTGTTTGGTGAAACTTAAAATCCCATTTCTAAGCTGCAAACAGTGCTACTGTAAGGGACCGACCTTTTTGTAATTTGACGCAGGTGCAATTTGGTGGAAGCCAGGCCATTATGCATTTATGTAATTATTTAGATTGTTACATAATCAGCAGGCCAGAGTGGGTGGGTGGGGCTGGTGGCATGGGGGTAGGAATGGGCGGTTGAGGGTGTGTGTGTAGTTGTTTTTTATTTTCGTATTTTTAGGCAATGTACTGACATCAAGATGAAATAAAAATAAAAACAAAAACACAACATCTCTCCCCTGCACTTCCACCCACTCGACCACACACTCATATTCACACCTCCTCTTAGTCACTCTCATTCATAAAATATTGTGTGCTTAAATGGCTGAAATGTACTCAATGCCAGAGTACTGGACTAAAATATACATAATATACTGTATGAAAAAAAATATATTTTTAGGTCCATTTCCCAGCTCTTTTTCTCTGCACACCTCCCTCTCCATGTGACAGATGCTGGTGTAATGGGTTAGTCAGGACACAGGGGAATGACATCACGCTCTGAAAATAGAGATGAGAGTGATTTGTCCCGTTTTCTGATGGACCTACAGAGTGTGGGTGGTTGGCCACCCCCGTCCCATCGACCTGTGAGAACTTATCTCCAGGATTTTTGCTCATTATAAAGGTGGTGTTAAGAAGAAGTGACAGCATTTTCATAGCATCTTCAGTCCCTTCCCTCTATGTGCAGTACACCGTCGCATCACCAGCCTCTTCTACCAGATTTACTCGGTTGAGTTTCATCACTTTAAGATCTTAAATGCATTTCATCACATATGATTATTATTAACGTCATGGTGTCTTTTGGTTTTGGACTGTTGGTTGGTAAAAAGAATAAATGTGAACACACCCTCTTGTCCTCTGGGAAACGGTTGTTATCTGTGGTTTGCTAGTTAAATTATGGGATTAAAAAAATACAACCAAAACCAAATAACACACAAAGCTATTTTTAACTGTGCAGTACTTATGGGAGTATGTCACCGAGCGGTTATTATTTCATTATTTTTATAATTATTATTACTCTGAACGAGGTATACAGGGAGAGAGTGTGTTTAACCTGAAGCTGATAGCTCAAGGCCCCCAGATTAGTGACCTGATTTCCCCTTTAAAGAGCTTGGAGGGGCGTGTGCCTGTGTGTATGTATGTGTGTGTGGGTGCACACTGAGAGGAAGAGAGGAAGAGAGAGAGAGAGAGAGGAGGGAGGGGGAGAGATAGAGATAGAGAGAGAGAATGTGTGTATGTCTCTGAGAGGGGAAAGTGGGGTATTAATCATAAGCTACACTCCAAACCCCAAAAAGCCCTTCGACATAAAGCAGCCCTTTCGACACTGATCCAAAGTCTGTTTGGTACTTATCCCTCTTTAATGGTTTTTCGGACAGGATTTGGGTCAGGGGTGCTGGGAAGAGATCCTATCCTGACGACAGTCCAGAGCCCCTCATCTAACTGCTACCTAACCTCCCACCTTCCCTAAGGTGAGGCAGGTGTGAAAGCTGCTGCTTGGGCTACCGCACCGTTGAGTGTGATCACCAAGAACATAAAACTCTTAGTGGACCAATAGGATTACCTGTTGGTCACACAAACAACAAGATCAACTCCTCAACTACACGGGAAACACAAAGAATATACATAGATTAACACTGTGTATGTTCGCTGTGGTTTTTGGGTGTATGCGTGAAATGCATGAAAAGATGTCATCATAAAGACTGACTTGCAACTACATCTCTTTGTTATGCAATTTTGCATTTCTTTTGTCAGATGACAGTGGAGACACGTGACAAAATTATCAAATTTTTAGCTTGAAGATTCCTTCTTGACCTTGGAAATAGTTACACAAAACAATTCCTATCTCTATTCCTCAGGCCACGTTTCAGTGTCTTCTTTTTGAAGCCTCAACCATTTACTTGTCTTTTTCAAAACTCCAGAAAAGCCACGCAAGTAGGTCTTGAGATAAGGTTCTTTTGTAAAAAAAAAAATAAAATGAAGAAAAGAATGGAGCATTTCTAAAATGCTTCTAATTTTGCATATTTTCTTGCATGCAAAAACAAAGACACTCTAATTGTATGTATGATGGGTAGAAACAGCATTTAAAAACCTATATCAGTTGGACCCCATAAGCAGTTTTCAGCGGGGTGCTTGATTCCTGCGTTTGAAGAATACACTGTGTATCTGCTTGCATATTAGGGAGCCGTGGGTGGGTGGGAGTGACTCATTCGCATGGCTCGGAGACTGACTGAGACAGGAAGTGAGGTCACAGCTGGAAGGATTACAGAGGAAGCCCACTCACTCTTAGCAGCTCCCCTGACGAGGGTCTGTCCTGAGGAATTTTCAGTAGGCAGTAGTCGACGAAGCTCCGGAAGGGGTCAGACCTGGGTAAAGAGGACAGTGAGATGAGAGGTTATAGATTCCCCTTCTCAGTCAGACATACTTAAATCAGAGTAAGTAAAGCATTAACAGCAGTGACAATCTAATGATAGGCTACTTTAAGCCACACCTACTGCACTTATTGTCAATGAATAACGTGATGAGTAATCTCTTCTTCTGTTGTGCTGTGTTTACCATATCAATGAATTAAACCCCAGCAATCCATTGTAATCTCTCAGTGTAGCCCCATATATGAATCATATATGGGTTATGTAAATATGTGGAGCAATAAAGATATAGGCCACTGGAGCTGTGGAACACTGCGCTACTGACTCTGATCTAAAAATATGCTCTTGATAACACATTATATGTAACACGGTGTTTAAATTGTTGCTATGGGTTGTTAAGATAAAGTAGCCCATGATACTACTTAGGATTTTGACAGTATATACACTTTCGGGGTCATTGCGGGGTCAGTGAGTGCAACAGTCCAGCACCTCTCCACCACCTAGCTCCACCTAACCTCTAACATCTCATGTCCTCTGTGGTTAGCCAAGGTATGTCAAGCCAATGTGTATACAGTGCGCTCTTGTGTTTGTGTAGTGAAGTAACACTATGGAGCTGATGTCTCTACTAGTCTCATCTGGCGGGATGTTGCTAACGCCTCAGGCCGCTGGAGCTCCTCCAAAAATACCACAACCCTGCGCCGCCCGACACACTCGCTCGCTTCAGCCCGATGTTAGAAACCAATGCTAATTTTACAACAGGCGATCTCCATGCACAGTCATAGGCTGCAAATTCTAACTTAAAAGACTCCCCCTGCCTCCTGTTTCTCATTGCTTGATTTCTGTCAGAGCCCGCGATACACGCTCTCTTGTAAAGTGTAAAAAAATGAACGCTTATTTAACTCAGAGCTTGGGTGGAAGACACAGGAAGGCCACTGATGCCCTCAGGCTGCGCTGAGGCAGATAGAGAGCAACAGTCAGCTACTTGCCTCGGCTGTGCAGGAGATACAGATTATTGCAAAATATTACAAGAAACAAACACCTGCACGACTCTGCATGCCTAGGACCTCAAACACGTCATTCACTTTTATACCAACGGGAGTGACAGCATGAGTGAAGCACACAAAGGTGAATTATAGGGAGAACATCAAACATAAGGTTAATATTTCATGAGTGTTGTTTCCCCCCATGACAATCGCACCTCATATGCGATGTGTGAGCTGTGGCCACAGCAGCTCAGAAGAGCAGTGGAATATTTCGCTGCCTGGCTAAATTGCTGCTAGTGTCCTTTTACACCATTTTTGCCAATTTAATTCACCTACCTCTCTACACATTTATACTGCTCAGTATACATCCTCTTTTCTGCTGAGCCCAAGTTTCCATTGTTTCCTACCAAATTCCTCCATTACCTCGACATTTATCTCCAGGTTAATAAAGCTTATACTGATTGAATCTTATAGCTAATATAGAAGATACTATACAGAATGTGTTCATGGATTATTTGTCGAGAATATAAATGATCAAATAGCAATGGTATTGTGGTACAGTCTAAGTATTAACATTCATGCTCCAGCTAGCCTAAATCATTTGTTTATAGACTAATTAATCCTCAAAGCAACAATGAACACCCATTATGTTATTAGTGTGTTTGTGTGTGACACAACTGTAAAAAATAAGAACCAAATCAGTTTAATTTCTTTACATAAAAAGCATATTGACAGACAGAGATATTCTGTATCAGCAGATATCAACAATGGCACATACAGTTTCTTAATTTATGAGCTGAATTAACATGAAAATGTCAAATTTGATGATGTTTTATAGTAGGACAACCAGTCTTGACTGAAAAAAGGTGCTTTTTCCAACACTGTGGGATGGGCTGGTGTTGCAAAGAGACAGCCAAGAGCTGTTTAAAACCTGCTGGCCTAAATTAAATTGCTTTAAGTTTTTTTGATGTCTGGAAGGAGAGTCTCTAGAGAATCTATTAGCATCCACAGTCATGAGCTGTAAGGCTGAGAGCAGCATAAAGTAATGCAAAAAGCAGGCTGTTTTCCCATATTACATTTAGAACACAGAGTGTGGATACAAAGAAACATCCTACTTAGTATGGGAAACAAAAAAATGTGAGATTTAACTACTAGAATAATATTAGAATAATCACACTACTTTGTTTTGATGTTGATACATGAAAATATGCTTTATAGCCTTGCAGGAACGGTGTGGGTATTTTCATAGTATTTCTTTGGTGGAGGTTTCTCAGGTAATTACATAAGAGACTTAGAGCGTGACCTTGCACAAAGCCTGTCGCAGGGATCACAGGTCGTGCAGATTAACACAGGGATGTCTTACTCTGACTGAGCCCAGATCAGATTGGGCATTAATTTTCACAGCTGACTGGAGGTATTGTATTAGCAGTCTCACTGGCTTTTATTTTGATTGTGGATAAATAAGTTTGAGAGAGTGACTAATTTTTGGCATGGACTGTCAGTTTGACGGATCACATCACTGGACTGCGTTCTTGACTATGCATGTAAAATTGAGGGATGTGATGAACAATTTTGATATTTGGTTGAACTCTCCAGATTTTCTCCCTGGATGGGGGAAAAATAGAAAAGCAATATTTGGGAAGTGTGTTCAACTCACCACTCATTGGACTGCAGCGTGGGAGAGTCGTTCTGGGCGATGTGATATAAGGCACTCATGGCATTCATGTTGAACAAGGGCGGTTTACGCTCCGCTAAAAGAAGAAAAGAAGGGGGAGACAGAGATAGATGGGGGAGAGGGAGGACGAGTGATGTTTTAGTGCCAAAGTTTTCACAATCTGCTTCTCCTTGAATGAGGCAGATTTGAAATTAAACATATACTTTGTCCACTTGTTGCATCACATTTAATCAAATCAGGACTGCATAAATATATTTTTAACCAGTAGGTAGATGTATGCTCACCCAGTTCAATACAAGTGATACCCAGGGACCAGATGTCCACTTTCCCCTCGTATTGACCCTCATCCATGGCTAGGATCACTTCTGGGGCCATCCTGAGGACAGAGATACACACACACACACACACACACACACATAGACGCACGCACGCACGCACACGTGCACGCACAGACACACACAGAGTTTATTAAGTATGTGGTAAAATCCATGAAAATGTTATAATCTGCTAAGCCTCTCATAGCTTTTAAAGACTCTGGTATGCTGTGATAGCAGCTCAGTTTTTGAAATGTGTGTGTGTGTTTCTATAAATGTGTGAAAACTTGTGTTTGTGTGTGAATTTAACATGATGAGTGATTATATGATGATTTCATTCACCATCAAAGCTGCCAAGAGTGTGTGAGTGAATATTTTTTGTGGAGCTGATCATTTATATATGAGAGGAAAACAACAGAGGACATTATGGCAGCAGCTTCTGTAACATTATATAATAGACTTGCCATACTGAGAGATAGACCTAAGTCCCTTTAAGACATGGAATATGTAACATTGCTGGTTTCATAAAGCTGTTAAAGTCCTGTAACTTATGACAATGGCTTCAGGGGTTTCAAATTCAGAAAGCCTGATGGCAACAACATGAAGAACTCACATCCTGCAACAAAAAAAAAAAACTATAAAAGCATCTAACTTAAGCAAAACAGTTGGTAATTTCTACGCAAATAAAAGAAAAAAAGGACTGACACTGAAGTAATACACCGACAAAAATATCCCACTTCATGTTGGTTTTCTCAGGATGTGGAGTCCTGTGCCCTACCATATGTCTATGACTTAAGTCCTGTGTATACTAACCAGTAAGGTGTTCCCACAAAGGAGTTGGCAGGTGAGGCAATGGAGGCGGAGCCAAAGTCGGCCAGTTTGACCTGACCGAGCTCAGTCAGCAGGATGTTACCAGCTTTCACATCTCTGGATGGGGAGAGAGGGATGACGAGAGGGAGCACATGAAGAGAAAAGTTAATATACTAAAATACAAAATATGACACCAGTAAGTCTCCATCAAATGTAATACATGTCTGAAAATGAAGATAAGGGTCTCCTTGTCTGCAATGAGACTTGTGATGACACAGAACAGACAAAAGGATTCATACAGCACCACAGTTGGATGTCAATCAAGTTTGTATGCCATTAAAGATAATAGTGTAGGAACCAGTGCAACAGGAGGGTTGTTACTTCCTGACAGTGATATTCAAGAACCACAAAACAAGTACAGACATGAGTCTTTACAACTTAATTAGTAAACACTGCAATAAAGGGAGAACATGAGCGTCTCTCATCTCATTTTATCATGTCTTTGCAGAAGTCACTGTATGTTCCTCTGGGGAAATGTTTCTGAGTGAGGAAACAAACTGACTCACCTGTGAATCATATTATGGGAATGTAGGTAAGCCAGTCCTAGCAAGGCACCGTGGGTAATGGCAGCAATTTCCATCTCTTGGAGTGGTTTCTTATGAACTTGGGGAAAAATAAGTACAATGGAAATGAGTAGGAATTCCCTGAGGACTTGAATAATACAATAATGAACTATATCAGTTCTACACAAAGGCCTATATAATGAATAAAGTCTGCATATAGTCATGAGATGCAGACTTCATGGAAAAAAAACTGTACCAGTCTGTCCTGCTCCTGCTGATAGAGCAATAAGAAAGTACTCTGTTGGCATCTAACATATGGATAACATGTAAACATCTGTGATATGGTCTCCTACGCTGGCTCCCTGTGTGGACTGACAGAAACTACATCCCAAAGCAAAAAGGTCACAGCAGAATTATCACAGAGAAATCTTTACACAGGCTGAAGTAAAAAAAAAAAAGACACAGGCCAAGGCCAACTGTCACGACAGTGTATCTACGTAAGTGATGAGTACACACATAGGTGCTTGAAATAACACATAAGGTTCAGGTCATAACAGTTCAGTAGTGTTCTAGCTTTGAAAAGTGGAAAATGTTTTTTTTGGTGCTTAAAAAAGTATTCAATCTAGAAACTAATGTAACACCGATATGGTCTTTCATCTGTCAGTCTTATCAAAGTCCTCAATGCAACATCACAGGCCAGACCACATAACGATGATAAATTCACTTACAAATCAGCAGATTCTACATTTACACTGTATTATCTTGCTACAAGAAGCTCTTTGTGGGAATTGCTGCAGTGATTGACCTTAAGCATGCATTCACACCAAGCATGTATGGAGTACTTTTTCTTCTCTGGTTTGTTCTATAGTAAGCTTCACCTGTCTAACAAATAACCACAGAAAATAATTACAGATCATGAGGTTTTATGGGTTTTAAGATATGAATGCAGCCATCTGATAGCAGGCAGTTCCTCATTTCTGGTTAGACGAGCAAAACCTCATGAACTAAGGTCAAACAGTAATCTCATTTTCATATTTAGCTACAGAGCTAGAGAGGGAAAATTAGGTAGAGAAGTTAAGTCTACTGGTGTCAGATAAACCTGCAGGCACAATCTACCTGTGGTTTAATGAGACTTGTTTTAGAAGCTGTAGCTCATGTAGAGTTAAGCAATGTCAACCCAAAACAAATGTGCCAAAACTCTACAAGATACAAATAAATCTACAAGAGAATTGATTGCTTGTTAAGAACTTTCCCCATCATTACCTCAAACCAGTCTGATTTCAGTGGTCACATATTCACAACTTCTTTAAAGGAATGGTTTGACATTTTTTCTTTTTTTTCGAGATTAACAACTTCTGCTTATGTTTGCTTAGCTTAGCATAAAGACTAGACACAGGAGGAAATAGGTAGCCTAGTCCTGTCTAAAGGTTCTGCTAAAGCTCACTTATTCACGTTATCTCTAATTTGTTAATGTGTCCAATAACCCAAGTGTAAAAATGACGAGTTAAGGTTTTACGTGGTGGTTTTGAAACTATTTCTTGGCCTTGTGCAGTTACTTACTGGAAAAATGTTAAGGTAAATAGCTTGACCCAGACAATAAATCCAGTTTTATAATTATACGTTTCAAAGTGTGTGTGCACATTAAACATTAATAAATACACTTACCCTCTAGTAAATCTGATGCGGAGCCCAGGCAGTACTCCATCACCAGCTGAAATAGAATACAGTTACAGCTGCATAACTAATCATTCACATGGTGAGCACTCTATCATAAAATATCCTAAATACAAGGCTTTAAGTCATTTGTGAAAACTTGTGAAGTTGCTCTCAACTGCAAAGTGATCGGATTACAATGTCTACAATGGATGTGGTGCAGAGAAACTTTAGTGGGCAGCAGGAAAACACGGTCAGTGGGACATGAGAAGAAATAAAGACAAAGAGGAAAAGAATCAGACAGAGAGGAAGAAAACGATAAACAGTGTTGCAAAACTGTGAGAGAAGAACTTTGATAAGAGGAGATGTGAAGAAGGATCCACTAACCCAGGCAGTGTTGTCTTTCAAGTAGCAGCCTTTGTACTCAATCGTGTTTGGGTGTCGCAGCTGTCCCAAAAACTTGACCTCCTTAATGATGTCCTGCCACTTCTAACAAAGGCAAAACCAGACACGCAGATGGTTACACACTATAGGTACAATCACAGTAACACACAAGTGGGCATTGTCGTGACTTTGATTGCAGTGGTGCAGCTGGCCTCATGGTAGTGACCACACGCACACAGGTGTTATGGCTCTTACAATCTGCTACCAGTTACAAGTTGTTTAATAGCACTGCATCAACATAAATACTGAACAGTAATAAAATACACAAAATTGAAACTAGTTAGAAAAAGTCTGACAATGTCAAGCCAGAGTCCTCTCACAAAACCATCATTCACAGGTTTATAAAAAGAAAGTTTACTAAACCACAGAGATGTGGGCTGAAGTTCCGCTCTGGTGGAAGCAATGATCACAGAGGACGTCTTCTGAAATACACTTCAGTCTTGCGCCTAAAACCTTTCCAGTGGTTTGCTTGAGGGAGGCACATGTTTGTTCTAATTTTTGCATCTGGTGGTGACTAATTACTTTTACATTATTTTTTGTTCTTTTAGGGTAACTAGCCACCACAAATGAGACATCTTACAATCTCACAAGGTAGTGTTAAAGTTTTATATGAAACAGCAGTGATATACTGCTTTTGCATTTTGAGCACTTGCTCTCTTTGTTCTACATTTGTGTCTAAGCATGTGAGATAAATACCATCTGACCACAGACTGAAGAAATGCCCCCTCGAACTTGAGCTTTTTTTGTGATATGGTTCAAAGACACACGCACCAAATTGTAGTGGTGCATCCACAGAAGCACCTTGGTTTTTGAGTACAAAGTTTGGTGTTTGGTTGTCATTGTGTTCCTGTGCAAGTGTGTGTGTGTGTTTGTGTGTGTGTGTGTGTGTGTGTGCGTGCGTGCGTGCGCATGTCTTTTTCTTACTTCGGTAGTCTGCTTGCCATTATATGACATCTTTTTGATGGCCACCACCTCGTTGGAGTAAGAGTTACGTGCCTGAAAGATTGAAAATGGAAGAGGTCAGCTCCCACAAACACTTGTGCAGTAATCCTCCCACAAGGCATCACAGGACAAGCTCCATAAAAAGAGGCTTGCATCAATAAGTTAGAAACAGAGACACACATTGATATAACACACTGCATAAAAAAGGGATTTCACTGTTGTACTTAAAGATCCTGATGCTTGATTAACCAGGGAAACTAGTGGTTCTGTTATGTTAAATCCAAACACTAATTTTCATCACAGACGCATCATAGAGAGCTAGTGAAATGAAAGTATTCTATATACAAATAACACCTTTTTTCAAACATCACATGCAGCACTGAACTATATTACATCAGAATGATACAGCAGCAAACAGATTCTGTAAATTGAAAATAAATTAGTTTTCACTGGACAGTAACTCGTGTATTGCTTGAAGGGTGACTCAGAGGTGAGCCAGATAAATCCTATGCGTACAAAACGTAATGCATGCAAAAAGCAATGCATTTACAACAGGGTGATATGGAAATAACAGATTCTCTCATTTTAATTAAAACAAATTTCTGCCTGATCAAAGCACTCAACGATGTCATTAGGAGAAGCCTGTAGGTAAGTGCTGCATGTACACTGTGTTTGACTTTTCTGTGCACATTCACATGCCCATGTCAAACCTGTGATGTTAACCTCTGAGACATCTGACCTCAGGGAAAGCTGCGCTGCGGCTCAGCCTAAGCCCTTATCTCGGCTTCATCTCACTTACAAATAAATGGGAATTTCATGTTGAGAGTCAAATGGAATTAGAGTAACAGCAGGCAAGAGTATCCCCATTTGACTTTTTTCAGATTCATTTGATCCCTATGATTGCCTGTCAGTGCATGCATAATAGCCATTCCCTTTGGCGTAGTGTATAGATAGATGGCAATAGAGAGGAGAAAAAAGAACCATGTAACGTTGAAATATTGAAATACATTCAGGCTAATTGTCATTGCAGAAGAAAGGGGGTGTATCAATAATTACAATGGACTAATTCATTCAACATACACTACAGTAGTGTGTGTTCAAAGCCCTGGGTGATGGGCCTGCGTATTCAACAGAGGGAATTCCCCTTGTTCTCCTCTATAATGGAGTTCCTCCTTAGTCTTCCAATGCATTAACTATGAATGCACATACAATTGCACACACTTATTTGACTATGCATGCATGTGCGGGAATAACCGTGAGAATACTCATGCATTTCCAGAAGTAGTCACTGCACCCTTCTATCATGCAATTAACCTGTTTCCATCTTATGCACTGTTAGTACTGCAGACATTTATACTTAAATATTAGACAGTCCATCAAAGTATGTGTGTTCATGAGTTTCTTGGGGTGTTCAGAGATTTCTCCCAACAGCGGGTTATATGAAACGCCATAATTTCCACTGGGAATGGGGGCTACACTTATAATTTCACTTTGATTTTTTTTTCTGTCTATAAATTGATAAAAATGTTGACAGGCTCAAGTAAGTCACCATCAATTATTACAGTGTGCTCAAAGCAATAAGCTTAATGAGCAGCAGCGAGTTATTTGCAGACCTTTGTGCCCTGGGTTTTGCTTCTTGGGCTACGTGCAGGATACCCTATTTCTGGATGGAGGTTATTGACACTAAGAGAGAAGAGTACTTCACCTTCCCTGAATGTTTTTAGGGTGAAAAAAAATTCATCAATATTTTATTTATAGTTAATATTCTCCAAAAGGATGCTACATCAATCAAAGATAAGGCAATGAAACAGAAAATTTCATTTCCCCATATATTTCTGTTACACTAGCTCAACCAATGTCATCATAATGTTTTATGAATACACATGTTCAAACAGATATCCTCTTATATTTGTTAGCAGACCAGTCATTTCAGTATCTAAATAAAATGACTACATCTTTATCCAGGAAAAAAAAACAAACAAATGATCGGAACACATTTCACTAAAACTGCTCTGGCTAACAGCTAAAGCTAGCAGTGTACCAGTTGTAATGCAGACAGCATAAGTGTGTCAGTGAGCACAGCACTGGCATCAGGGCAGGATTTAGACACACACTGGAGCCTGTTAGCCAGACGGACATGGGTACCAGGGCTACTAGTGATGTATTGGGGCTTTGTGTGTGTGTGTGTGTGTGTGTGTGTGTGTGTGTGTGTGTGTGTGTGTGTGTGTGTAACTGACATGGGATAGAAGGGGATAGTAAAGCCCTGGCAGCCAAGAAAATCCTGCCCCACAATTGACAGCTTCTCTGTTTTTCTATACCAAGAGAACAGCTGTCTTAGGAGGGAGGGAGGAGGCTTATGGCCCCCAGCCCCAGCATCTGGAGGGGGGCAGAGGAGAATAGAGAAGAGGAATGGAGAGGAGAAGAGAAGAAATAAGAGAGAGCAGAGAGATGCTTTCAACCTCCCTCCACGCAGCTTTAGAATCAAAGGCTTGATGAGTAATTAGTGATGATGAGATTAATGAGAAAGGGTACAGAGAAAGTGCTGAGAGGGGATCCATCTCCACTTAATTGTATTCAAAGAGCAATAATGCAGCAGGCAACACTAACATCATGTGTAAAAATCAGCAAATCAATACATGAATCATAAATTAGTATGTATGGTAACTAGTTAATACATAACATCAAAGCTATAGTTGCGTACTAATACTCAGGTAGAAGTGTATTGCTCCGTGGTCATACTACTTTTTTGGTCCACCGTTCACATGGTGTCTTTCTTTCTGAACTATAAAACTCTGCTGAATAAATTTCAATAAAGCCAATAATTCAAATAAATGATTCCTACAATCCAATAACTTTTCAGTGCCTTCAAGGTCCAGTCATAATTGAAAACCCTTTGAAACAAAAAGATATGGTGGATTCTGAAGCAAATGCCTGAGAAAAACTATTTGTATTCCAAGATTGTCATTAGAAATATCCTGATGATATGACCATGACAACAACTTGATCTCTTCCAAGGATCTCTTCAAAATTACAGAGACACTTATGGCGAGACTTATTTCCAGTTGAAAGGATTTCCTTCAATCTGTGTTTGTGAATTGGCACTTACAAAGTAGACAGCACCAAAGCTGCCATGTCCGATCTCGTGCAGGTCACAGAAGACGTCCTCGGGGTCATCTTTGAAGAAGAGGTCGGCCAGCTCAGGGTCCTTCGGCACTCCTTTCCGTGTGGATGACGGCATTATGGGCTGGACATGGGCTAGGCGCCAGGGACCACGCTCACATACACACTGCTGCTGCTGCTACCGCCACCAGATGTCAAGGATGGACCCGGCATTGGCCAGCTAGACCTGGAAAACACAACAGAGAAAAAGACAAACGATGAGCTGACATTTTTAATGTGGTGGATTGCACTGAACAACATGATCACTTTTCTTTTCCTCAGGCTAACTAAATAAATCCTCCTCAATTTAATCTAAACATTTACTTGTTGCTAGAAAACTTAACACATCACTTCCTGTGTGAAAGCAAATATTGAAACTTTTAAGAACAAGAACTATTAATATAATCAGTGTCAAACTAGTAACATGCACACTAAGGCATTACATTACACTGAGACACATACACACACACACACACACACACACACACACACACACACACACACACACAACACACACACACACACACACGGTTGGTAACTGATACTCAGGAACATCCAGACATTGTTTGATCTAATGTTACTTTCGAAGACTATCAACATTCGTGCGTATGTGTGTGTGTGTGTGTGTGTGTGTATGTCTGTGTGTGTATGCCTTTGCAGTTGTGCATCTCATGGACAGTTGATAGGTGATAAGACAGGAAAAAAGACAGTCATATGATGATGGCTAACTGACTAGTCCTGCTGCTCATCCTAGTCACAGTCACACTTGATCATGTAAACATGCACGCACGCACACACGCACACACACACACACACACACACACACACACACACACACACACACACACACACACACACACACTTGACAGCTGAAGCTGAGTCACTGATGCACCATTTCCACACATGCACACGGTGTAACAGTTGCCTGTGTGCGTGCAGACACACACACAAACACTGAACGCTTTATATCACAAGGCTACAGCCAGGCTGTGAAGCGTGTACGCATCCTGGACACCCTGCTCCAGTTAGCTTCGCTGCACATGCAACACACACACATGCACACAGTCGCACACTATCTCTCTCATGCCCGTTTCTCTCTCTTTTTTTTTTTTTTCCTTTTTTACCATGAAATCTCTGTGCACATCAGCCAGATGCAGCAAGCAAATCTGGCTCCAAAGGCCAGCCCCACACAGAGCAAGCTGACATACAGGCAGAGGCAGCAAGACACACAGGCACCCAGGCCAAGACACTAAGCATCAGCATCATCCTAATCCCATGCTCTTAAAAGGGATCTAAGCCATAACACCCACTCCAAAAATATCATCCTTAAAGGCAAAGTCCTGCACCCTCTCTTCCATGGAACCAGATGCACAAAGATAATTCATTCAGGAACTTTAATGGGGATGTCCAAATTAAATTTTTTCTCCCAATCTCAACACGTTGCATTATGTTTGGTGAAATTCAACTAATTACAGCTTTCCATTGATTTTCTTTCATACAAAATGGCTAACTTCACCAAAAAGTTGCAAAATACAAGAGGTGAACAACATCTAAGGTTTGAAAGTGGCCTCAAGGTTCGGCATCATCACTAATTCAACAGAAAAACACATGGCTCAAGGCAGCTCAAAGTCTGTGCTCATATGTTCAAGGCCTATGTCAAGAGACGCTGGTTATGTGCTACACTGTAAAGTCGAAGGAAAGAGGTGTGTCATCATTTAGGTTATAATTTTGTAAACAGCTGAGTTCCCAAGGCTTTTGGATAACAGTGAAACAATGTTGAGCATTCACATTGTGACTGTATAACTGGATAAGTGGATTTATTTCTTGTCAAATTAGTTTACCAAAAGGAGGTGAGTAGTGTGCTGGCCAAGAAAACCTTAACAAATAGACACATCTGGCCACTCGTAACCTTCTGTATATTGAAAAGACTCCTGAAGCACCGTGCCAGCCTGCTACTATCTCCAAAGCTGTTATAACATCTCAGCATTTGGGATGGCAGCCAGTTGTACTGCAGCCTGACTAAAGTGAATTTCATGCCATTAAGCTTTGATTTCTCTCTAGGAATGCTCAAGGAACATACTTGGAAACAACCACAGGTTGTCACATAAACAAGAGGCAAGGTTTCAGTTTACCTGCTTACATAATATGAAAGATCACATTTGCAGGCGAACATGCTTATTGCCTTAAGGCATCTATTGGTTGTAGATGCTTTTCTGAGAGGCATGAAACCCTCGACTGAGACCTCCATGCCTTTGACAGAGGTGTGACGAATAATCATTGAGCTACAGCGTACAGTATAGAAATGTAACTGTATGCATACGACCTTTAGACTACAGATTTATTTTTCGACACAACTCGTGGTTTTTTTACTTTACTTGAGTATTTCCATTTTATACTACCTCATACTTCAACTCTATCACATTTTCAACTCCACTCAACTACAGTTACTTTTCAGGTTAACACTGTTCATACAAAACATATGATGAGTTTAGAAATGATGATGCATTGTTATAGATGAAAAAGTATATGAAGCAATTCAATTTAGTTCCACGTTCACCAACTGCAACATTAAAACACTGCTCATGTAAATAATAATCATCCACTAATACTGGAACACCGACAGGAACCATTCTGCATTATAATACTTTTACCTTTAATACTGTAAGTACATTTTATTGCCAATAAGTCTGTACTTTTACTTCTGAAAGATTTTAAATATAGGACCTTTACTTGTAATGTTTTCAGTGTAGTAGTTTTACTTCTACTTTTATTTTTACAGAAGTAAAATATAATATATTAATATGAATATGAAAAAATGCAGCAATCTCCACATTTGAGAGGCTGGAACCAAAGAATATTTGATTAAAAGATTAGCAAAATAGTTGCCAACTAATTCAATGATTAATTAATTAACTAATCATTTTAGCTTTACATTACACCAACGTGATTGTCTGCTTTTTCGCTAAATTAGGCAGTGCAAAAAGAATCATAAAGATCATGCGTGCTTGTGTGGGTTGTTACCTGTATTTTTTTTCCCTGTGTGTTTCAGTGTGTGCACTTGCATTTTATATCTGTTTACCTACAATATGAACTTGCGTGTGTCCATGAGTTTTAGCAAATCTGTGTGTGTGTGTCTGTGTGTCTCCTAGTTGCATCAGCACTGTCCTGCTTGAGTGCGCCAGATAGATACTGAAATAAAGTCTGACACAACCCCCATATCAACCCTATACCCATCAAAAACACACCCACAGCATGTACACATACACACACACATAATATGACAATGCTGCTTTCACTAATAGAAAATGAGACAGGAATGAAAATGTTGCAAAAATAATACAGGAAAAACAAAAATTGGGGAATGAAAGAGTAAGAAATTTGGACGGAGAGATAGAGAGAAGATCTGACAGACAGATAGAAAGGGACACTGACCCACTAATAGCAAGCAAGCAGCTTCACCCCTGTGATACAGCTTTGAAAGCAGATCTAAACCACATCGATGGAGAGTTGGTAGATGAGTAAAAGACAGATAGAAATGGAGCAAATGAACACTGAAGTCATGTGATCACTCTAGAGACTGCACACCTCCCTCTCACCCTCTTTTCCACTCTTCCTCCTCCTCCTCTTCCTTCTCTCTTAAGATGTGTGAAGTGATGCAATGTGGCAACAACAGGTTGTAACACAGGGGACTTGGTAAAGCTGTTACTAGTCCTGCAAAGCCCAGTGTTTGGACAGTTAGCTCTGTGTGTGTGTGTGTGTGTGTGTGTGTGTGTGTGTGTGTGTCTGTGTGTGTCTACTGTGGATCTATGAATGGTATTGTGCTGAGAGAGAGAGCTGATTAGGCAAATGGCTTAGACAGATTAAACGCTTCGTGTGTGAGTGTGAATTCTTTGCAACATGTGCACAACTACACACCACTGCATGACACTGTACTTATATGTAGGTGTGCATTAGTGTATATGTTCAGGGATACCACACACTTTGCATGCATACACTGATGTCTGAGTAAATCAGATGTCGTGTGTGTGGGTTACTGTGGGGGTGCGTAATGGGGATAAAAGGTTTGCTAGATACAATAAACTATATGTCATAAAAACAAATTACATGTAGAAGAGATTATACGGTTTATGCTAATCTAGTCTGGACTACACACACACACACACTGAAAACACTGAAGAATTCAACCATTTTTGAAGAACAAAAAGGATTTTGCACTGAAAGTCTTGACGATTAATTAATATCTAAAAGTTTTGACAATTTTTGGATCAAGAAATTTAGACACATAACATGAAGTTAGTGTTTTCCCTACATTTTATTCTGGCAGCATTGAAAACGAACTTCAAAAGCGACTCAACTCTACTCACTATTTCACACCTGCCACTGCTATTCATTTTTATGTTAGTTAACAAAATCTAATAACACAAAAACACAAGATCTACAGAACTTATTCTGGGACTCCTCCAGTGGTTATACCTGTACATGCAACACATGCTGGCATACACATGTTAACCGTAGGCCAGAGTTCAACATGCATACACAATAAAACACATGAGCAGAAACACACAACCAAACATATACACCCTCCCACCCCCCAGGCCACTTGTTGGTGTTGCTATGACTAATTGATGTACCAACATGTTGTTGTAGGTCTAAGTCTGTCAGGCTGGTGGATATGGCTCTACTGTATACCATGTGCTGCAACAGTCATATTTAAATGGGACACCACATTGTCTGCTCTTTGCCAATTATATACAAGAATAAGATATAAATGCCACAAACAAAAAGACTGGTCCACAAATACAAGGTAGAGCCTCAGTACTGAATTCTTTTGATACATTTTCAGAGGGAATTAGACAGAGCCACAGTGTGCCAGTGGATTGGGAAAAAGTTAAGTTTGGTCACACACCTGAAAACATGGTTGAATGTGAAATGTTTCACAACACAAGACCACATCCACCTTGACTGACAAGTTGTGCAAAGATATTGTGAAGATTTAGGAAAAAAATTCTTTCAAATAACCCACGGATGGTTGGATGTGCATCATTTTTGCAAGTGCAAAATCATAAGAAGATATAGTTTGATGGAAAACAACTTGACAGAAATTCCAAGTTTCCTCTACACTCAGATTTGCAGTGTTCTCTTACATACTCCACTCTTAAACACTTTGTCTTCAATTCTCTTTGTAACTGCCCTCTCTTTTATCAATTTCTTTAAAGAGAAAAGCTTTGACAAGGAAGAACACATGAATTTCTTATCATTCATTTTACTCTCTGTTTCCTGGGTTTGTCAATATTCAACATAAACTCTGTGTGTCTGTGTGTGTATACTGTATGAAAATGCATATATGCCTGTGAAAGTAAAGTGGTTGTGAAAATGTGCTCATTTTGTATATACACATGTACATAGGGTGTGTCAAAATAAATTTGTGTTGTTATGCCATTGGGAGCACATGAGTGTCCATATGTGTGTGTATGTGCGTGTAGCCAGGGGGTTTAGCGGCTTACTGGCCCCCCTCCTGGCTTTAGGCAGGAACAGGAATTAGACAGACTGTGGGAATTCTTACTGGGATTCAAATCACCAGCTCTAATCAGAAACGGAAAAAAAGAACTGGTAAATCTGCTAAATTGCGCATTGAGACATTGTGTGAGGATAATGTGTTTGTGCACGCGCGTGTGTGTTCACGTTCATGTAAGACCGAAGGAATAAAAATTACGTAATGATCCCATTCCCCTTAATTTCTATAATAACGTTACAGAGAGCGAGCTAAGAGCTTTGGAGTTGAGTATGTTTTTCTGTGAAGGTGCGCATGTACATATGAGTGAGCAAGGAAGCCTGAATCATACACTCACTCAGGAAAAAATGAAAATCACTGCACTTCAGTAATTGTGCCTAATAAAAACTTAAAGAGTCGGTAGAGCCTCACATCTCACCAGAGTGCAAGGTCCCTGGAGAGTACCATATGCGTATGTGTGACGTGTACAAGCGTGTGTGTGCGTGCCTTCTGCACGACATTAAATGGGTCAGCCTCGTTATGAATAATATAGAAGCCTATTCAAATGCACAACGCAGGGTTGTATGATGATGACTAGCCAATTCAAGGGGCCAACTGTGATAGGGTTGTTTCTTATCAATGGAAAATCAGAGAGTGGCTTTTCCTCCAGTGAACTGCATGCTCCGAGTCCATACACATGGCCATGCATGGACAGACTATATGTATTCATGCATGCATACACACTGACACAACCTCAGTGTCTCTATAGTTTAATACAAATGTCAATCCTCCAGACTACACCTTTGTGGACTTCAGTCAACAGTATCCACATTCACAATTTGTGCAGGATGCATGAAGAGTTTGGTTTTAGGGAGTAAAACTGAGATATGCCTACACTGCAAAATTTTATATACACAGTAAACCTTCCCATTACATTGAATAGGTGAGTATTACAATGCTATTATTATTATTCGATCTGAAACCCTCAGATCGAGATCTTAAAGCCTTCGTTTAATCATCAGCAGAATTACTTTATGCCACAAGGGCCACTGTTTTTTTGTTTCTTTTTTAATGTACTAACAATGAGTTGACAGCTGACCGTAACCTGACAGCAAATGGGGGTGGACAAAAGTTCATTCTCTATTTGTCAGTGTTAGCAGAACTGTACAACACTCTCTTAGAATCATATCATGACCTTAACAGGAATACAACAGCATTGCTAATTGTCAGACGAGGCTTCTATGCAACTACAGAGAGAGGAAGATGTCAAGCCAGCATATTTTGTATACATCTTCAGTTCCCTAAAAAGAGGCCTTATCAGGTATATAAGTGAAAACACCAATATGGGTCAATCCGGAACCATGGTCTTCAAGCCACCACAAGGCTTATTGTTGACTTTACTGTACAGCCTGGGCCAGTCTTAACTTCACTCTGCCCTCAAGTTCACTAGTCTGCAAGTGAGGGGAAGTTGAGACATTTGAAATCATCCCTCATCTTGCCTCAAGTATTGTTCTGTAACCCAAATTCTTCCCCTCTACCACACCCGATACCCTTGAGCTCTCTTCCCACTCAGGGTGTGACTCAGCAGCAAGATTTGCCCACAGCACAGAATGTACACACACGCCTGACTTTCTCCTGAATCCAATGATTGGTGTTGGCTCTCTGTGCCATGATGATAAGTTGACAGAAGGATTTACATTATTGCCCAATTCACAAAAGACTCCAAACCACAGATGAACCTCAGGCTTCCTTCAGTCACTATAGCTTTAAGATGCCTGAGCAGGAAAACCTTACAGAGAAACATTTCCAAACAAACTAAAGAAAAGACAAGCAGTACTTTAGAAATTGTTGTTTAAAAAGAATCTAATAAAAATCAACATTTTAAGGCTACCTTCATCTACCACGTTTAACTGCAATATCTAAATTTTATTCATCTGAAAAACACAAACACAAAATACACGCAAAATACAACTGCTAAGTCTAACAAGTTTGATACTGCCAACCATAAAAGTGGTCTGCGCTACGATGCTTCCGGTTTAAAATAAAACATGAAACCTCCAACAGTTAGACTGCAGCGATACTCACACAGGAACTCACACGTGTATGTACACATAGACAACTTGAGAAAGTTATGGTACAGGCCAGAGAAGCTTTACCTCCTCCCAGAGTCAGCTTTAATCCAGTGAGACAGACAGTTGGTTAGTTGTTATGTATATCAATGCATTCATTACAAGGCAAACAAGACCCAGTTTAGAAGTTGGCTGACGCCTGTGCTGGCTGTCTAACTGCAACATGAGACACGCACACACGCACACACGCACACACACACACGTTATTGAGACAAGTCAATAAATGACCTGTAAAGCCTGTCAGACAAACACTTGGTTAACTTATCTGAATGGTGGAAGTTATAATAAAATTAAAGACATTGTTTGTTTTTTTTTGTATCACTATGATGGGGTGCCCTGAAAAACAAATGACCAAAAAGTTACACCAACCAGTAGGAAATGTGTAAAGAGGGTGTCCAACTAGCCTCTGTCTCCCTCTTTCTCCTTTTCTCTCTCCTCAGATCAAGTCCAGAGTTGACTTCTTGGCGACTTTCCTCATGACTGGATTAAGACTGTACCTGAGAAACAAGAGAGGAAGAAACAAAAGAAAGGTGATGGTTGGATTGAGATTAAATGAATACATTTAAATTAAGAAGAAAAAGAAATTTGTGTCTGTGATAATGTTACTGGAGCTGAAATGGTAAGTGGATTAATCGATTAGTGGATAAATAGAATATTAACTGGCACTCAGTTATTATCTTCTTGACAAGTTCTGGATCACAGCAATGAGTCCTTCTTTTATCAGCTTCAGGAAAGATGACAATATAACCTCAATTTGTAGAGATATTGTCACTAACAGTATCATCAGTGTGGGATAAAGGCTGTTGGGTATCTCAGTCAGGTGGTAATAATACACTGTTCATAGTGCTTAAGTCTTAAAATGCTGCAAGTATCACTTTATTTAGTACATGATAGCAAGATAGGAACCATCTCGATGTTAATTGATTTTCTACATCTGCTTGAGCATATTCAGGCTCACAGGTGAGCCCAATGACTCATCCCAGAATGCATAGGGCATACAGTATCTCAAACCAAATGTCTTGGCATTTGAAACAAGGGAAGTACCTCCTGTTTCAGGCTGAACAGATCCTTCCTCCCTCTTTCAAATAGGTGAGTTCAAGGACACTACACACAGCGCTGAGGACAAACACAACATTTTACACACCCACGAGCAAGCACAAATACAATATTTTGCTTTCTCCCACACATACACACACACACACACACACACACATCAAATCCAAGTGAGCTGTTCTGACAGCAGAGCGCTGCCAGCTACTGGACTGTGTTTCATTATGACAAGCAGGTGGTGCAGCATTCACAGCATTACGACTGAACACAACCTGACCCTGTACCATACACATCAGATTTACATAGCCGGCACACAACAAAACCAACTGTTGTCTACAAGCAGCCTAACAGTCAGGAAGTACAGTAGATCCGTTATTCATTACATAAATGACCCTGTGACCTTTGGTTTGAGCCACTTAATTCCTCTGTGGAATCAAATTGGAACAATTCCTTTTACTCTTCTTTTCTACCTTCTTCTCTACCATTTTTCACCCTGCTCTTGCCTTATTGGTTTCACCCCTCCAAACCTACCCCTCTCTTTTTGATCGTGCCGAGCAGCAGATTGGGTGCTCAGAGGAACCGCATTCAATAATAAAAGAAGAGAGGATGGAGGGATGAGAGAAGAGGGATAAAAATGTATTGTGCCCCTACCGAGTGTCCCTGAATGATTTATAACACAAACTGACGCTTGCATGAGCCTCTGGGAAAGTTGTGGCTGCACTTCTCCTCCTCCTCGCTCACTCCACCCTGCTTGGCATTTGTGACCAACCAACAACAGAAAGACATAAATAGATAGAAAGAGTGAGAAAATAGTGCAAGGGTGAGACTGTGTTTGTATGTCTTTTACTCAAGTCCATCTTTAAGAGGCCTTTAAATTGATTTTATTTTAAAGATACAATCTCAACCCATACTACTTTCAAGGCTGCAACTAATGATTATTTTCCTTCTCTATTAATTTGCCAATTGTTTTCTTGATTACTTTATTTCTTGTTGTGTTTTTAAATTGTCAGACAATAGTGAAAAAAAGTCCCATCACAACTTTCCAGAGCCCAAGGGGACACCTTCAAATGTCTTATTTTGTCATCTGGACCTACAGTCCAAAACCCCTACGAATGTCAGTTTACAATGATATAAAACCGAGAAATGCATCAAGTTTTGGGTTTTTGTTGGAATGCCATAAAAGATAAGTCTCTTTCACTCCTTAGAAGTGTTAACACACCCTGTACAGACCAGGAATAAATCAATAACTACTTGATTTGGAGCAGTAACATAAGATTGTTTGCTAATGTTTTGCAGTAAAAATAAAAAACATGCCTTTTTCCAGCTGAGCAAATGCTTTGCAGTAGCTCAACGATGTTGTTTCTAAGGGAAATAACAATAGTAACTATTATTAAACCTTAATATTTTGCTAGGTAGGTAAGAATTGAAATTTTCTGTTTTAGAAATACTGTACAGACTATATGCACACTTGCTGTGAGAGGGACAAAAGCAGAAACAAAGGCCACATTAAATAAATAAATTAAGGTCAACTGGTGTGGTGGCCTGGTGGTTATGAGGTATACCAAATACTCTAGTGAATTCAGAGTGTGTCTATCGGTGTGTGTGTTTGAGAAATACACCAGGTTACAAAGGTCAGGGGGCCAGCTGAGGCATGGCATTTGTTAAAACACAAAGAAAAAGTGAGAGAGAAAAAAAATTGTCAAAGAGGCACAGAGGATCTGATTGTGTCAAAGAGTAATGATGTGAAATGAGATGATGAGAGAGAAAAAGAAGAAGAGTGAGATGGAGGAAAGCAGTGAGGGATATCCACTTGACTACTTTGTGATCTCTAAGCCTCGCTTCCATATTTTTTGGTTAATAAGAAGCACAAAGTTAAAGAGCATAATAGTATTTGTGTCATTATGCTATACTTGAGAGACGTGTGGTCACCTCTGTGAGGTCAGATCATTGTAGTGAAGTCTTACTTCTTCCATGGCCTATATGGTTAAGATCAGGCAATGTAGGCTCAAACACCCTGACAGGCTTCCAGACAAAGTTTGTTGATACACTGGCTACTGATCAAAATCCTGATACCCAACTCCTACTTTCCCTTCCTCCTGTTACATGACACACGCTGTGAAATGAATCACAAATCCTGAGTCACAAGCCTTCAATTTTGAAGGCACAATTTGGCCAAGCAAACTGTTCGGACAACCCTGTATCGCATTTCTGTTTTCGGGCAAAACAATCCAATAGAACAGTTTTCAGAGGGATCAATCAAACAATTGATCAAGGATGGCTGTGATATCAAGTATCAAACATGGACTTTGGCCAAGTCCAGGCCTCTTTCTGTTTCAGTTTTTCACATACAGACTTCATGAAATGATGACCTGACTTCCTGGATGGAAACCTAGGGAATTCTGTGTTGAGGGTGTAAATCCCCCTTCATCAGCAGCCTTTAAAGTTGAGCAAGTCACCAAACAAAAAACTGCTCTCAGAAAAATAGCTCACGACCCATCAGTAGATTAAACACGTTAAACTGACTAGCTCTTAGATGTAAATATATTTTGTGAATCTGAATTAATGCACACACACTTAAAGCACTACAAAAATACCAGTTATAATGCTTAATCTGTCTTTATAATAACTTTGAGCCCTGATGTGCCTGAATTTAATAAATGATAATGAGACTCAAGTGTGCATAAATTCAACACTTGATGATTTGCACAGTGACTGATGATGACTAAGGTGGGTTTTTGATGAGTCATACCGGAGGTAATCATATGTCCCATAGTGAAATACTGCTTTAAATAAAGCTGAGACAACCAAATATGAGACCATTTCCACAATATACAAAATTCTCCCAGGATGAAAATAAACTAATCCAGTGAGATAGAAAGAAACTAAACATTATGTCCTGATTATCCTGCCAGGGCGGCATGGTGTGGATTTTTATAGCAGTGACTCATTTTCACAGAGTGAAGAATACACACACACACACACACACACACACACACACACACACACACTTGAAGCTCTAAAGCAGGATTTGGAGACTTCGGGGCAGCTCTCATCTCAGGAGCTTAGTGACACTATTGAGACATGCATGCTTACAAACACACACATACACACACAGGAGAAGAGATGGAAAATGCCAGTAAGAGGATGGAAAGTATATGGTTCTGCTTTCCAAACTCGTTAGAAGTGTTGAACACACAGCCACTTTAGCAGAATCAAGGAATAATGCAATAACTAATACTCTAGAATTTGGATGCGCACGTTAAATCACACGACTTGGTTTTGCTAATCCGTTAACTTGTCACGTATAAATATAAAAACATGCCTTTTTCCAGTGAGCAAATCGCTTTGCGCAGTAGCTCAACGATGTTGTTTCTAAGGAAATAACAATAGTAATATTAATTTAAACTTTTATATATTTGTAGGTATGGTAGAATTGAAAATTTTCTGTTTTAGAAATACTTACAGACTATACTGCACACTTGCTGTGAGAGGGACAAAAGCAGAAACAAAGGCCACATTAAATATAATAAATTAAGGTCAACTGGTGTGGTGGCCTGGTGGTTATGAGGTATACCAAATACTCTAGTGAAAGCAGTTGTTGTCTATCGGTGTGTGTGTTTGAGAAATACACCAGGTTACAAAGGTCAGGGGCCAGCTGAGGCAGTGGCATTTGTTAAAACACAAAGAAAAGTGAGAGAGAAAAAAAATTGTCAAAGAGGCACAGAGGATCTGATTGTGTCAAAGAGTAATGATGTGAAATGAGATGATGAGAGAGAAAAGAAGAAGAGTGAGATGGAGGAAAGCAGTGAGGGATATCCACTTGACTACTTTGTGATCTCTAAGCCTCGCTTCCATATTTTTTGGTTAATAAGAAGCACAAAGTTAAAGAGCATAATAGTATTTGTGTCATTATGCTATACTTGAGAGACGTGTGGTCACCTCTGTGAGGTCAGATCATTGTAGTGAAGTCTTACTTCTTCCATGGCCTATATGGTTAAGATCAGGCAATGTAGGCTCAAACACCCTGACAGGCTTCCAGACAAAGTTTGTTGATACACTGGCTACTGATCAAAATCCTGATACCAACTCCTACTTTCCCTTCCTCCTGTTACATGACACAGCTGTGAAATGAATCAAAATCCTGAGTCACAAGCCTTCAATTTTTGAAGGCACAATTTGGCCAAGCAAACTGTTCGGACAACCCTGTATCGGCATTTCTGTTTTTCGGGCAAACAATCCAATAGAACAGTTTTCAGAGGGATCAATCAAACAATTGATCAAGGATGGCTGTGATATCAAGTATCAAACATGGACTTTGGCCAAGTCCAGGCCTCTTTCTGTTTCAGTTTTTCACATACACAGACTTCATGAAATGATGACCTGACTTCCTGGATGGAAACCTAGGGAATTCTGTGTTGAGGGTGTAAATCCCCTTCATCAGCAGCCT